CTTCTCGAATCTAAAAACTACCGTGTTCGGTTTTTTAGAAACCTTGCCATCATAGTCCATCTATGAAATCGTAGTATAGAATGTATAAGATAGAAAACTCGATTGGTTATTACAATCACTATCTGGATTTGAACTAATTACTTCACATTATAGAAAAAATAAAATAAAAAATATGTTGTTGTTAAACTTTTTTCTATCACCTTACAGTGTCAAATTCGATGCAGTTTCAAAATACTGACGCAAAACTATCCGATCATAAATTAGAAAATTTTTATGTTTAGTGTATTGCTTTGTTTGTTGCTTGTCTTTGTCATGATCTTGATCATCGTGGTAAAACAAATGCTTTTATGGTAAAAAGTGCATCCACATTAGCTTCAATTTATACAACTTCAACTATGGAACGACATCATTTTAATCAAACAGTCACAATACTTCAAGTAAGAAAAAATAACTTGTTTCAAATAAAGAATTAGTTTAATTTTCTTTTTCATTTTGTTTTTTATTTACTTAATTATTTTAGACTGAAAGTCATAATATATTTAAACATTTTTCTTCGAAAGAATATCGACAAATGTTAGATGAAATTCGTCATTGTATATTAGCTACTGACTTGGCACTTTTTTTTGAAAATCGTCCGAAACTTGAACGTATTGTTGATACTAATGAATTTGATTGGAATAACAAGGAACATTTGTGAGTTATTACATCGATCTACTTTCCATATTATGACCATCACAAAAAAAAAAAAAATTAATTTTTTTTTCAAAATTTGCCACTACTGGTCATTTTTTGTTTTTCTTATATTTCCTCTAATCCTCTGTTGCTAATTGTGTTCATGTGGTGATAGTGCCTATTTCTTGTGTCATTAGTTTTTTGAGTGTGTATGAAATTTGTACATACATACACACACACACACTCACACACCATACACTTACCATAGTTTGACACTTGTGAACAAAACTATAACAAAGAAAAAAAAATGAAGCATTTACTAGATAATGAGTAACATACACGTTTTCCTTTTTATTTTATTTTATTTCACACATTATTCTTCTGATTGCTGTGCTTTTATCTATAGGCTATACTTGATGGGGCTCAGTATGACCGCTGCTGATTTATGTTCTTCATATAAACAATGGGAAGTGCAGCGGTCGAATGTGAGCATCATCATGGAAGAATTCTTTCTGCAGGTGATTTCATTGTTTCATAATACTCAATGCTTTCTTTGTTTTTTTCTCTCTCTCTGTGTGTATATTTATTAATATTTCACCAGAAAGCAGCACTTATTAACTGAAATACATGTCAGTAGTAACACATGCACTATCACCACCAGCACATTACATGAGGAGAGGAAGAAATGGCTAATGAAAACTTTTATTCTTTTTAACTATTTTTTTATTTCTATGTACAAAAAAATTCCCAAAAGAATCTCTTCCATTGCACTCATAGAAAAATTCATTGTAATTGGATGCTCTATTGTCTGTATTTATGTGTTTTATGCTTCCAGTCGACGCTTGCAATCGTTATCAATGACATCTGCCGACTTATGCGCCATGTATAAACCTTGGCATATACAACAAAATATTGTCAGCGTTATTATGGACGAGTTTTGGGAAGAGGTGTGCTTTTTATATGTATTTGTAACTGCTGCTTTCTACTAACTGATAAAAAATAGAGAGAGAGAGAGTTTTGGTGGTTTTTTTTTTTAATTTTTATTATTATATTTTATTTTCGTATAGGGTGATGAAGAAAAACGTAAAGGTATTCAACCACAATCATTAATGGATCGATCACTTGCACATGAATTACCAAAAAATCAGGTAATTTGTCTTTTTCTTAAAGACAATCAGTTCTCTTATGATAAAAATAAATTAACAAAAATCTCTCAATTGAAAAAATGCCAATTTTTCGTTAGAAAAATCGAAATTGAGATGAATATATGAGAAGATAGACCGAGATCTGTTTTTGCATAAATGAAATGTTTTTTTTTATTTGTCATCTTGTTTTTTTATCAAAACTTTTGATGGTTTAAGTCACTTTCTGCTTGAAAATTTTTTTCACTTTTTTCGATCGCGCGCGATAGAATTTTTGAAGGAGCTTAATTGTAGCTAATTGCGTCTTTTTCTTTTTGTTTGAAAGAGTATGTGAAGTTGCACTGCCTGATAGTGTCTATTTTTTGAACTAAGCTCTTTTATTATTATTATATAAATAAAACACTTCTATAAATTAGAGTGCCATTTATTTTGAGTGTTTTTCGAGGTGTTGAAATTGTCATCTTCTTTTAGCCCCATAAAATATAAGAGTTTAATAAACAGAACTTTGCCAGGCTCTGCAATCAGGCATGTTGTTTCAAATAAAAATAGCATTAAATCTACACAATGAGGGATCACAGAGAATACATAAACTACTTTTTATCCTTGTTTGTTGAATATCTCCCGAAAACATTATGATATAGAGCTGAAAATTTTAGCATTACCTTTCGACTACAGACCTGATATACTCTCAAAAAAATCCATACGATTTGAATTCACCCAGCTTAAGATCGATTTTTGAGGGAAGAGGAGGACTTAAATTGTTGACACAAATATGCTTTTGAGAGGATAACAGTGAATTTCACGTCCGAAATCTTCGCAATCTTTCCTTCAACTACTATTTACACCTTAAGAATAAAACTGATCTAATGAGATCACTATTTTGAGGAAAATGATAAAAGACTATAGTATATTATGCATAGTCACCAGAATGTTTTGATTCTAGAATAGGCTCAACATTTTTTTTATAAAATCTTCATGTGGAAGTTAAAAATGAGAGAAGACGAGTTTTTGGGTGTCACATAGATAAAATATATCTTCTATTGAACTCACATTTTGCAAGGTGTAACAGCGATGAAGATAAAAAAATTCACAAGTTGTGTGAAAAAAACATGCGAATGTTTATATTCATCAAAATGCAACTGTTGAAAACAAAGATTCTGATCTGTTTTACTGGAAAAAAATTTAATGGCGAAGAAATTTTTCATAGGAAAAGGATGCTGCATTTCGAGCTTCTTCACTGTTGAAAATGTTTAATTGACCTATAACTTTAGTGATTAAAGATGAAAGAAAATTTTAGCAGATTCCAGCTAATCTAACTCAGATTTTTCGTACAGTACTACGTCCTTTATAATGAAAGAACTGCATTTCAATTCATTGAAGGTGTATGATCCAATATTTACTTCAATGTTTCCTTAAAAATGTTTTCTACGTCTACTTGATTAAGAAAATGTTACCATTAGCTGCTGGAGACGGCAAAAACTATTGTCATTTGTACAAAAAACGTGATGCCCAGCTCAAATCTATCAATTTGATGGAAGAAGAAAAGTGTCTAAGCCTATCCTAGCCTATGAAACATGAATCCAAGATAGGCTTTCGCTTTCCCAAGCCTTACAGCTTCGTCCCCTAAATGCTTATTGAATACGAGTTGGTAGTATATAAGGTAGATTCGAGCCTACCCAAGTCTTTATCTATCCAGCCATCATGACTAAGTAGTGGCTTTGTTCGATACGTATCCATAAGGTATTGTATGCAAATCTCAGTACCACCATCTATGAAATGTCCTTAAACAAGTTACTAATGGCTGTTTGTCTCAGATGACTCGTTCAATAGCATGCTGACTACATTGTGACACATACACCTGCTCTTGTGGTTAGTTAGTGTGTACGGAGGGCTCAAGCAATTGAACGCAAGAACCCTGCGTCAGATCAATCTTCTGTACAGAACTACAGCTAGTATTAGTTGTAGAGAATATGTCGTGCTATTGAATCTGCTACTAGGCAGCACTGAATACCGCAAGATAACTGAAAGGCAAGAATACTCTTCCTTCTTTTACCTGTCCTGGTACTAGTCTACTCAGACATTATGATTCCGCAGCTTATGATATTGAGTACTTTCGATATATATTACCGTTCGAAGTTTTAATAGTCAGACTATGATCATTTTTTGAGATTAAAACTCATATGAAACATGTTCTTATTTAATATCTAATAAATTTCTTTATAATTTGTTTTTCAGGTGAATTTTATGAAAAGCATCTGTATACCATGCTATTCATTAATAGCACGTGTTTTGCCAGAAGCTATGCCAATGCTCAGTGGAGCCAAGTATTAATGAATATGAAAAGAAATTTTTTCTTCTAATAACTTGTGTTTGGTTTTTTTTCTTCAGAAGTAACCTTCAACAATGGCAAGATTTAGCTGGTGAAAAACAACAAGTAACTCATACGAATTTAGCTGCTTTATCTTCTGGTTCATCAACAGATGATACATCTGATTCTTCTCGAACTCCTCCAGCTAACAATACCTGTCAGCCAGCATCGTCGTGATATGCTTTTGTTTTTCTCGAACGGTTTGTTTTTGCTACAAAAGAAATAAAATATTTTCAACACAAAACTAATGTTCGTGTGTATTTTATTCTCTCGTTGTTTTTGTGTTCATTTTCTTCCTTATTATTTTTTTTTTCTTTTTCTCTTTTTTTTATATATGAATTACATAAAACAATGTTAATTTAAGACTTCTAACTGCATCATTCTCCAAAAATGAACGTATTCTTTATTTTCACATAGAGACAAATGACAATGACGATACATCTTTTCTTTTATGAAAAAACACACAAACGCAAATGACTAAATACATGTTATGTATAGTGCGACAAGAGAAAAAAAAGAAATAAAGAGAAATAAGAAGACAATGTTTTGTTTCCTTTTTCATCAAAGAATTACTGAAATAATAATAACAACAACAAGAACAAAACAAACAAAAGTTGTCTAATATAGTTTTTTTTTTCCAAATATGTCAATATATGCGTATGTGTGTAATAGAGAGAGAGCGAGAGGGCGTAGGAGATATGTAATCGTGCGGAATTAGTCAGCACAAGAGAAATGATGCTTAAAACATCAAATAGAGAAAAAAAAAAGAGAAGCAAAATAAGAAAACAAAAAAGAAAAAAAAACAAATAAATGAATGTTTATGATGATAAGGGTTCATCATTATCATCTGTATTTCTTGTTGGTGGTGGTGTCCGTAAATCGACAAGACCTTTTTCACGTATTACTTTTAATGCAGCTTGTTCAGCAGCACGTACAACATCTTCACTATGATCAACTAATGATATTATATTAACACCATCCCATTGAACACCACATGAATTCAATAATTCATGAACCTTAAATTAAAAAAAACCAAATATATATACCAAGAATTTTCATATATAATTTTATGATTAAAAAAGCTTGTCATCAAAGCCTAGAGTCCTGCGGAATATTCGCGATTGGACAAAGAGGATGTGGTACTCGAAAAATGTTTGTCCAAAAGGACTCTAGTACAGCTTATTTGGAGCTAAAATGTGGAATTCACATGTGTCCTTTAACTTAAATATGCTAATACAAAAGACGTTAAGTGAAAAATCTCCCGCAGACTATAATTGGTTTTCTAAGGATAATCGAAGGCTGAGGAAACGATCTGTCTTATTTATTTCGAACAGAGGTTTTTTTTTACCGGCACTTTTTTTTTTGTTTGCATTATTACTATTCACTTTTTATTTTTAGTTATCGTTTATTATTTTAGCTATTGATTTAACTGGTAAATAAGTCTGCTGTACACATCATTTATATCTCCACACAGGTTCCAACATACTAAACTTAGAAACACTGATAAGGCTTTCGAATATTCTAGAACAGTCTAAATCTTATTGTTAATGCCATTTAGTGCCTTTTTCCATTGCAAAGAAACCTTTCCTCCACGCGCTACTATGAAGGAGGGGAAGGTACAGAGTCATTGAGTTCCAGACAGAAAAGGTGCTGCGTGAACAATTTTCAAAAGCAGGCAATACGTTGTATGAACGGATTCCAGAAGCAGGCAGGCTTCACACGCCTCTTCCCAAATAATTTACGCTACCGTAACAGAAGCGGCAAAATGTCGACTTAGAGAAAGAAAGACCCAAATCTAAATCTTACATCACTGTCTGTAACAGGTATTTCTTGTGTACCACCTGATGTTGTTTCAAGTAACATTCGTACATCAAAACCAGCTGCTTGTTCATCATAATGTATAGCTGGATGTTTACCACGATAAAATAAAATTCTAGCTCGTTCATTTGCTTCACGCCAACTAAGACCACGAGCAACACGATGTGATGATGTACTACTATTCATTGTTTGATCACCATTAATTGATGTTGATAAATATCGTGAAGATTCATCATTTGTATATTTTGATGTTCCATAAGTACCTGTACGTGGTGGTAATGAAACATACATTTCTTTAATAACTAAAGCTAGAAAAAAAATAGATAATGAGAATTTTTTTTGGTTTTTTTTTTTAAATAAAAAATTTACGTTTTCCATCTAATCGATCTTTCATTAAAGTTTGTACTTCTGGTTTATCAATATCATCAAATTGATTCGTAGCATGTGCTTGTTCAATAATATCGACAATTTGTTCAATTAATTTTTCATGATTATGTTTAAAATCTTTTTTTAATCTATCTTTTAAATCATTATAAGTTTTAAATTCTCCAATTTTTTTTTCTTCTAAATAATGAAATGTTTTATTAACATATGTTTCAATTTGATTTTCATTATATAATGGTTTATTATAATCATATAATAAATTTGTTATTGATGAAATAATTTTTTTACGATTTGTTTGAATATTTTGTTTTGCACGTTCAGTTAATAATGATGATGCACGTCGTTTTCCATTAGCACTTATAACATTAATTGATGTTAAATCTTGTTGATTTGTATTTGGTGATTGTTGTAATAATAATAAACCATCTTTTTGTGTTTGTTTTATTAATTCAATTGAACGATCACATAAATCATGTGCTTTAGGAAATTCACGTCGTAATTGTGCATTTAATTCATCCCATGTATATATTAAATTTAATGAAAGTAAATCTAATGTACGATTTAATATTTTATGTAATTCTTTTGTTTGTTTTCGTGTTAATTTTTTCATTTTTAATTCATTATCAATTAAATATTGATTTAACCATTGTAATTGATTAGATTTTAATAAATTATATTCTGCTGTACTTAATAAATTTGATTGATTATATATTTGATTATATAAATTAGCTGTTTGTGTTATATTTGAATCTAATATATCAAGATTTATTTTTTCTTTCATTTGTGTTATATCACAATGATCCAATGTATCACGTGTGATATCAACTATCGGATCAACAAGATAAAATGTTTGTTTATATTCAGTTTTTAAATCATTACGAATTTGTTCATATGATAGAATTTTTGGTTGATTTAGAAGTATTAAACTTTTACGAACTATTTTATCAATTTCTTTTGGATGTTCAGGAAATTGTCTTATTGATGGTTGACTTGATTGAATATGAGCACGTAAAATATCACCTAGTTCATTACGATGTGTATTTAATTGTCCACGACGACGTTCATCGAGTAAACCAGTATGTGTTATTGTTGTTGTTGGTTTTGGTATTGTTGATGAAGTTTTTTGCTTAGATTTTGAACGACCACATGTTAAACACGAACGATTTGTTGGTTGCTCTTGAGATGTATGAGTTGGTTCTCTATAATAATAATAATAAGAAGAAAAAAACTTTTAGTATAATCCCTTCGAGATTCAAATGTGAAACACGGTGTAACTGCTATTACTAATTATAAGAAAATTGTCTTATTCTATCTATTTTTGGACACATTTCTTCACCATCACTTTACTTAATTCTACGCAAATGAAATAAAGTAGTTATTATATTATAACAAGATGTTATTCATTTACGATCTGTGACTATCTATCTACAATTTCCGTCATGACAAACACAGATTAGGCGAAGAGCAAATGCAAGTATCAGAAGTAACGAGGGAACGTCTTCAATTGTTTCCTTCTAATTTCAAAGATTTTTTTTGTCTATAGATAGGCTCCAAAACAATTTGAATTTCACTAAGCTATCGAATTTTTTTTCGACAGGCTTCAGATTTTTGGAAAACTCATATTTTCAAATTTTGATCAGAAATTTAGTGCATATAGAAAACTCAATTAGACCAACTTCCATAAAATTCAGAAGTTTTGAACAAAATCTCTTCGAAATATGAAACATTCAAGATATAGATTCTTGTTCATGGATATACATTTTTTGAAAGCTTCATATGTCGAAGAGATTTTGTTCAAAGCTTGTAAACTTTTTAAGCAAATTATTCTAACTGAGTTCTCTATATACGCAGAGTTTCAGATAAAAATTCGAAAATAGGAGTTTTTCGAAAACATAGGACTTCTAGAAAAAAATTTTTCTAACTTAATCAAATCCGAATCCTTGTAGAGTTTATTTATAGCCAAAAAAAATCATTAAAACTGGATAGCAACAGCTGAAGAAGTTCTCTCGTAAGTACGGGGACTAAAAAGAACAACAATAAATAAAATATAACAGGACAGAAGACGGCAAATGATAGCTAAAGTCAAACAAAAAAAATATGAACAATAAAAAGAGTATATCACTTTCGAATCATATGAATCTAGAGGCGTATCTCCAAGAACAAGACTATTGCATCATCCATCAACATGTCACTTCCAGATCATAAGCAGATCTAATTTCAGTAACTATCATCATCAAACATAGTAACTTAAACTTAGATCTAGATCACTAAATTCGAAATCTTTGTTCGTTTAACTATGATTTACTGTATGCTTTCACATACATTATATCTCCTTGTGATTATAATAGTTTATCATAACTTTTATTTGGACATATTTTTGTTGTTTTTCGTCAGTAAATCTATTATTTTTGAAGTAATGATTTCTTCTGTTTATATTAATGTAATGCGACAAGGAATGATTTTTCGTTATAGAATCATTTAACCACGTCTATGAAGCATACGAATATCTACTTCTATACTTCAACATTTCTGTTAAGGATCGTATTTCACAGAGTATATGATAAATAAATGATTTTCTTAATAACATACTTTTTTACATCTTTGTTAATGTGTGTTACTGTCTCATATGTTTGTTTAGCCGGAAGACGAACCATCTGTTAAAATAAATATAAACAAATAATAAACAACAACTGAAAGAAAAATCATTAATAATAACTTACATCACGAATAGCCAATGGAAATTCTGGTTTATCAAGATTATCTAACCCTTGATTTTCAATAGTAAAATAAAGTGAACGTACAACAGGATCAACAATAAAAGCATCATTTTTATGTTCAACAATTAATTTTTGTTTTAATTCAGGATATGTTGTTACTTTCTTATCTTTAATTAAATCAATAGCATGTGTAAGAATTTTATTTAATGATTTTTGATCTTTTTTTGTATCGAAATCATCAATTGATTTTGATATTTCAGTTTCTAAACATTTTTTTAATTCATTTTGTCGAAATATTAATTTAGCACGTAAATCATCATTCATTGTTATTTTACGAGTAAAATCATGTTTTAATAAACTATTATCAATTTTTGATTCTGTTGTTAAATTTTGTTGTTGAATATCAGATAATGTTATATCTTTTGTTGTTACACTATCAATTATTTCACTACCTAAACCTGAACTAAGTGATGGATGTTGATTAAGATCTTCAATTGTTTGAATTGTACCAAATGTTGATGATGGATGAATATGAGATGAAATTATTGCTTCAAGGCCACTGTCTGAACGAGATTGTGTTGTTGTTTGTTCTTGTTTTATTGATGATATATAAGCATCAGTTTTTGATGGAGCAGCTAAATCAAGATCGGGTATATGTAATGCTGGTGCTTTTATTTCAAATGATGAAACTTTTTTCGATTCAATTTGTTTGTCCTAAAATTAAAAAAAATATAATAAAATTTCATGAATGTTTACTTTAAAAATGAATATTTTATTATTTAATAAAATCTTGTTATCTATTTACTTTAATATACATTTTTCTTTTAATCGAATTGAAGAATTTTCTCCGGCTAAAAAATGATTTTTTCTTATTTAGATTGTTATCTCTCCTTGGTTTAGATAATATTTATAATAAAGTATCAACAAGAAAGAATCCTTTCATAAGCTAATTCATAGTAATATAATGCTTTATATAACATAAATACCATTGAAAATGCCAAGCTCTTAGCTCTATATGTGTTCTTAGTTGTGTTGAGGTCACATCTTCCATTAGGGGAATATCCTTATAAAGAAATCCTTGCGTGAAGAGAAATAAAAGACTAGAAGCATTATATATATATATATATGCTTATAAAACTCCTGCTGTGTTTCTTTTATTTTCATGATCTTGATATATAATTAAATGAATAAGACTAGAGTGTTGATTATCATGTAGTTAAGGTTAAACATACTTTGATTTCTTCTACTGATTGCTTTTCAATAGGAGTTGTTGTAGTAATTGATTCAATTTTAACTTCTTCTTTTAATGGTGTTTCGATAACAGTTGGTGATCGAATATTAATTTGTTCGTCTAATTGTTTTTCATTGACAACTGATGGTACAGTAATAGATGATTGACCATCAATTTGTTTTTCTAAAGTCAATGGTTTAACTAAAAGATCTTCATCAGCTTTAACTTCAATTGATCGAATAGTATCAGTTTGTTGTAAATGAACATCATCTATTGTTGGTGTTGTTGTAGTAGGTAGAACAACTTCTGAACTTGTAACAATTGGTCGAGATAAAACAATTTCTTCATTAACAATTGGTTTTGTTGGTGCTTGTCGTTTTTTTTCAGTTGTATGAGTTGTTGGTAAACGAACAGATTCTGTTTGAGGTAATGTTAAATCAACTGCTGGTAAATCATTACTTGGTGCACGTAATGAACCTTTAGTTTTTAATGTTGAAGATACATTTGATGATGGACTAGGTATATTAACTTCCGGTAAATTAGCTTTAGGTGCAGCAATTGTTTTTGTTTTTTCTTTTTGTGTTTGAGATTTATTACCAAAACATGAACAAAGTGCAGGTGTTGATGATTTTTTTTTAATTTCAACTTTTGGTTCAATAATTTGTTTTTCAGTAGATTTTATTGGTGATGTTGAAATTTCAACAGCTGGAACTATTCTTGATGTATCTGTTGGTAATTCATTTTCAAATGATGGTGGAGATACACTTATATCTCTTGATAATGTTGAAATAGGTTCAGTTGAAGGCATTTGAAATGTAAAATCAGGAAGTTTTGGTGGAATTTCATAATTTTCAGTTGTTTGTTTCTAAATTAAAAGAAAAAGAAAAATTTTAAATAATAAAAATTCTTTATATCAAAAAAAAAATTTACATTAATTATTGTTGGTAATTCTGGTGGTTGTACAAAATGTGTTTCTGTAGTTGTATATTTTTGTTCAGTTGATAATAATTCTGGTTTAATTGGAATTTCAGTTTCATTCGAAGGTATTTTAGGTAAATCTGGGATTGGCTAAAAGACAAAAAAGAAGGAAAATGAATAAAAAAATTTACTTTATTATCTTACTGAATCTGTTTCAATCGGAAAATTTTTTTTATCAGTTTGAATTGCTAACATATCATTAACAGGTGATGCTAATGCTAAACCATCTGTAATTGTTGGTAAATTTTCTATTTTATTATCATCTTTAATATCAATAGTTGATGAAACGTTGGGTAATTTTTCTTTTTCAGATTTTAAATGTATTTCAGGTAATTTAACATTTTCTTGTTCATTTGATGTTAATTGAAGTTCAGGTAATTGTATATTTGGAACTTTTAATGGATCAATTGTTGTATCACTTGTTGATTTATTAGTATCGGGTAAATTTAAATTCGGTATTGGTGGTAAATCAACAGCTGGTATTGAAAATTCTGATGATTGTTTTATTTGTCCACTTGTCATATCAACTTCAGGTCGATCATAATTTGGTAATGATATATCAAGTTTAGGTAAATCAATATTTGGTGCATGTAATGGAACCTTAGTATTTGTATGTGTTTCTTTTGTTCGTGTTAAATCTTGTTCAACCGATGGTAAATTAAGTGTTGGTGCTTTAGATTTATGATCACTATGACGAAATAATGTTGAAAATAGACTTGGCTTTTTTTCGGTTTTAACTTTTGGTTGTTTAGATTTTTTAGTTTTAGATTTTTTTGTTGGTAATGTATATGAACCTTTTTTAGTTGATTCATTTATTTCAACATTTGGCATTGTTTCTGATTTTGTTGTTATTATTGATTCAATTTTTTGTTCTATTGGTGGCATAATTTCATCAACAGGTTTTTTTATTTCGAGTGTTGAAATTTCAGGAGATATTTCACTTGTAAGAATCTTAAGAAAACAAAAAATCAAATAAATAGCATGTAATGAAAAAGTCTTGACAAATATATTAAACTCTATTTGACTATATAAGCAAATACCTCTAAAGAAATTCTTCCAACTTCAAAAAATTTCTATTTCTCAATTATGTTGGATTACATGAGCAAAAAAAGAATATATCAAAAGCTCTATCGATATTGGCTTTGGTAAGAATTTTTTTTATATAGCCGTTTGCAAGAATCGAATTCTTTGTACGTTATTTGTTCGAAACATGTCGTACACATAGAAACTTAGCCGAAAAAAAAATTTTTTTCTTATGATTGGAAAATGACCAAATTATACAATCTCTTTTAGAAAAAAACTATTTTTTTTTATACTACTTCTCATATAAGAAAATTTGATCTTACACAATGACGAAGTTACAAGAACTCTTATGAAACATAATATAAAAGGACTGTTGAGAATTTGGATAATAATCATAATTTAATCATCTAATATCTCATTTATTATATATCATCTATTGCTTGTATATAACGTGAGAGAGAGAGAGAAAAGAGGCAATATTGAGATCAAGGAAGTAGATAATCTAAATATGAGGACAGATACGATAAAATAATTTATGATACATAGTCACTGTACAACGAAGAAGAAGAACAAGAAGGCGGCAAGGGTTGACAACAGAAGGATAAAACGTCATGCACATACAATCAATGAAACCAAGGAGCAAAGAGAACGACAATATTTCAAGAATAAATAAGAAGCGTCACATTAGAGATCATCAAAAGCACTTTAGAAACGTCCTTGCTCTATGTCACAGACGTTGTTAATAGACGATTACAGACTATGTAAAAATAATGTCTCATTAAACTATTTCCTTATTGCATCTGTAGAGGACTAAATAAACGGATGGTGAAGAAATATGTCCCAGAATATATAAAATAAAACAATTTTCTTGTGATTAAAAACAACACCTATATTATGTTTCAGATTTTAATTCCATAGAGATTGCGCTAATAACATCTTTTTTAGAGATTTTTATTCCTTCTTAGGTTTGTTCTAGAAAAATATGTCTGATAAAAAATTAGTTTGATACGTTTGTCAAGACTTTTCTATAGCATATTAAGTGAAAAATTAGAAAAATAAATGTTTACTTTTTCTTCTGTATTTGTTTGAGTAGTTTCAATAGTTGGTGTTTCCAATGAACGAGGAGTATCATAAGTATTTGGTTCTGGTATTGAATATTCAGGTAGCGGCACAGGCTCGCTGGATGGTAATTGATAATGTGGTTCTTCAGTGATTATTAATTTTTCAATAGTTGCATCTAAACGATCTTCTAATTTTGGAAGATCCTATTAAAAAAAAAGAAATGTTTAAGTTGAATTTTTCTTTTTATTTATTTACCCCAGTAGTTTGTTCTTCAACTTTATCGATTTCGACACTAGGTAAAATAACTTGTTCATCTGTTGTTGTTGTTGTTGTTGTTTTTGTTGGTAATACTGGTACTGGTACTGATTCAATTGTTGGTGCTGATGAAATAATTGTTGTTGATGGTATATTATCTTTTTTTTCTTGTCCAATTATTTTCTTTTGTTCAATTGGTGCTTGAAGAGTTTTGGATGTTAATTCTTTTTTCTTATTTTCAGCTGCTTTTGTACCAAAACATGATGCACATAAACCACCAGTTGATTTTTTAACTTTAGGTGTTTTGTCAGTTGTACCTAATTCTTTTGGTTTTTTATGTTTTTCTTTTGTTATAGGTAATGTTGGTAATGGTCCTGGTTTAACTAATTCAATTTCAGGTAAATCTACAGCTGCACCATGTAAATTTATAGTTGGTTTTGAACTAGTTGATTCATCAGTTTTTCTTGTTAATGGAACAACAATTGATGTTTTTTCATATTGAACATCAATTGGTTCAATTGTTGGTGATCGTGCTTCTAAATGTGTTATTGTTTTATGTTTAACAATTTCAGGTTGAACATTAATTGATTCAATTTTTGGTTGTTGTGCATCTAAATTTACAATTGGTTTTTCATCGATTATTTCCGATTGAAGATTTATTGGTTCAATTATTGGTGAACGTGGTTCTAAATGTACAATTGGTTTTTGTTCAATTGTAGTTGATTGTAATTCTGTATTTTCAGGTATTATTGATTTTTCATAATCAATTGGTGATTTTGTCTAAAGAAAAATTAAAAATCAATGTAAGATTTAATATTTCAGAGAAAAAGCGTGCGAATAAAATCACTTCTCTTTTTTTTTTGTAAACTAATTACTGAATGTCGAAGGAAATCAGGAACGAATGTGCATACAAATATGATCTGCTCAAGGTAAACATATATACATATGTATTATCAACTGGTTTGAAGGATGAATAAGCAATAGGTATAAAAAGGATATAACCGTGCAGAGAAGGTGAATAGATGCAAATAGATTTTTAATGTCTTCTTACAACAGGTAGAATGAATTGAGTATCGAAATCTTTTGGTTTATATGACATATCAAGGCCAGGTCGATCACGAAAAACATCAATATAAATACGTTTACCATCAGGCAAAATCGTATAATCAATTGTAGGTTTTTCTTGAAAAGGAATATTTATTTGTTGATTATTATCTAGAGTAATTGATGATGTTATTATTGGTTGATTCTGTTGTTCTAGTGATGCTTTTGCTTTTTTATTTCCAAAACAAGAAAATCGACCAGTTGATTTACGTTTTTTTATATAAATAGGTGTTGTTACATTTGATTTTGATGATTTTTGTATTAAATCATTTTTTTTATCATCAAAATTTTCTTTTGTTTGTTGAACTGTTTCTGTTACGATCTCTTTTGAATATGTACTATTAGTTTGACCTATACTCTGGAAAAATTGATTGATTTTTTTCTTAATATTTCTCTTATATTGATCTTATTATTAAAATATAATAATAATAAAAAGAAAATCAAAAACTTACTTTATTCGATTCATTCAATTGATCCGTTATTGGTTCATTTATTGGTTCAAATTCATTTTTAATTTTACTTGCTAAACTTTCATATGTTGCTGTTGTCATTGAATAACCTGAATCAGATTGACTAAAATCATTTGTTGATGATTCTTTCATATCATCAGCTGGTATTAATGATCTTCCAATATCGAATTGTAAATTAGAATATTCATCTTTATTATTTAAAATAGCTTCAGTTAATGAACGAAATTGTTTTTCATTTAAGTCAAGTGTTGGTTCAAATGATTGTTGTAATTGATATATAAATGGTTGTGATAGATGAAATTTTTCAAATGGATTTGTTTCACTAAGATTAAAATCAGTTAAATATTGACCTGAACGTTTAATACGTATTAAATTTAATGTTGATTCATCATCATATAATAATGGACGAAATAAATTTTTCATACGTTGAATTGTATCATTTGATAAACCTAATTTTGGATCATCTAAATCAATATATCCATATGCTATTGCTTCAGCTAATGTTATTGGTTTATGTGGTGATATATCAGCAAGCATTTTTATTAATTGTTCTTCATTATAAACACGTAAATTTTTCTTTATATTATCAGACATTTCAACGTCCTTCGTATGAACTAATGCTGGTTGTTTTTTTTCGTGATCGTCGTCAATTACTAAAAGTAGGAAGAGAAAAAAAAAAGTGTTTCGTTTTTTCTTTTTATTTTATTCATTTCTAAAAAAGCATTCTTTTATTTTTTTTTCTTTCTTTCTCTCTCTCTCTCTCTCTTTTTATGTACATTTATACAATAGAAACCAAGGGAGTTGTGCTACTAATGTTCTTCGTTCTAATTGGAAGGACAAAAAAAAAGCGAAAGAATAAGCAAGTGAAATCGAGACATTACTAGGCATCAAACAATTTTTTATGCGCGTTAACGTAGAAGTAAGTACGTAAACGGACAAAATAGGTGGAAATAATAAATGACATCAAAATTGAATTTTCAATCTTCATCTTCATCAATTTCTCTAATCATATAAAAACAAATTTTAATAATTATCCTAATGAAATATCTTTCAATACTTCACGCAAGATGAAATATCAGAATATATTTCATTTGAATATTTACAAAATTTACATGTAACACCATTTATTTATACAAATCAACTTAAACAATATTCGATTAATGGATGTTATATCAACAATAATAGACGAACAGTTACAACAAAGAAATGAAAAAAAAACAGAGAATATGTAGGACTATTATCTAATCTTGAATATATATATTTGCACTGTATAATGTACTACATTCACTTTTTTATATATGTGTATAAATACATCATATATTCGTTCCTACGTTGAATATTGACATATATGAGTAATAGGATGATGAACAAGGATCAATAGGATAGTATGGTAAAGGATGATTATTCACAAGCAATCGAATGCTCAAGAATAAAATGGTTGAACTTGTTTCTTTTTAGTTTTTTTTGTTGTGTGTAGTTCGAGTCGATTAAAACTTACCAGAAGAATCAGAATAACGTCCCGGCGGCATCCAATGGCACTTAGACAAAACGTACCGACGAAATCTCATAGTATCGATATATTGAACTGTCGATGAACGATCACTTTTTTTTTTCTATTCATTTGTCCTTAAACAAACACCTATGTCTAGATGCCTATGTCACCAATGTGTGTGTGTGTGTCTATTGTTTGTCCAATCATCGGTTCGAACTAAGGCATGACCTCTCACTCGTTTGTCAAAGTGAATGTATACAAAAAAAAAAAATCCTTTCGTTTTTTTTCTTCTCTTCTATTCTCTTAGTGCTGATTGTTTTTTTACCTCGTGATGTTATTAATTTATGATGATGATGATCATCATTGGTGTTAGTATTCAACATAATTAAGATGACCGAATGTTCTTGTATAATGGTAACCTTTTTTTTTATGTTCCTTCTCTTTCTATTTGCGAAAGGAAAAATAGTAAGACTATTAACCGTCAGTAATGGCAATCAGTCAACTAAATATTCAATGAGGCATCATGATGCAATCGCAAATAATAAAAGAAAAAAAAATCCGTTAGGTAGAGCTTATAGCGATTATCTTTCTTTTTTTTCTCTTCTCTTTCTCCTTCTTCTGTGATTTATCTATATAATAAGCAAAAAAAAATGCTTATAGAAAGATCGTCTTTTGATATAGAGATGATGTTATGCTAAGATACAAAAAATCAACTCTTAACGCTAAGGCTAATATATAAATATATGACAATGATCTATCCATCAAAAAAGTCCAGATATAGAAGCAAGAAAAGTAACGTTTATATATTAACCTTTTTCATCAGATTGACCATGATGTTGTAAACGTTGAAGTGTATCTTCAATTGGTTTAGTAATAACACTAATATTTGGTTGATGATCTCGTTCATTAATATGTGTTTGTACAATTGTTATATAATCACTATTTTCTGATGAATTTTTAATATCTTTTTCATTATGTATTGTTGAAAATGTATTTAATAAATTTGATTGTTTTGTTGTAAATAAATCTTCATATGTTTTAACCATTGGTTGAATAAATAAATTTGGTGATAATTGTTCTGAATATTCATTTTTTAATTGTTCAAATAAATTATTCCATGATGAACAACGATCATGTTGTAATAAATCAAGAATACGTGATGAAATTTTTCTTCCTTTTAAATCTTGTTCATTTGTTGTAAATAATTTTGATGGTAAAAAAATTTTTAAATGTATATAATTAATTAATAAAGATTTTTTATCTTTAATTAATTTTTTAATATCATCGGATATTAACTTTTGACCTTGATTTTGAGATTCATTTTCAATATTTGTTGATGTAAGTATTGGTTGTGTTGTTGTACTTGATGCTTTCTTTTTTTGTTTAGATTTTTGTTCAACTATAGTTGCTGCTTTTTGTTTACGTTGTTCTTCATCATGATCATTTGTTGTATTACGTGCACATGAACATAAATTAAGACTTGATTTCTTTTTCTTTTGTTTTACTTCAATTTGTTTTGATTTATCATTTGTTGTTGTTGGTCGTTGTTGTTGTTGTGATGATATTGGTTGAGAAGAAGATGACGATAATGTTTCAATAACAGGACCACGTCCAACAGTTGTTGCATCAGCTAATGTTTGATCTTGTTTAGATTCTTGTTCATTATGATTAATTGTAGGTGAATGTTGTTTTATTGGACTATCGGATGGAAAATCACCTGATGTAACTATTTCATTTGATGGTTCATAATATTTTTCTTGTACATGTATTAAACGTGGTTGATCAATCCATGATGACGATGTTGGTGTATTATATCTTATTTGTGTTGATGATAATAATTTACTAACATCATCGATACCTAATTCACGTTTAGCACGTTCAAGATCATGCTGATCATTAATTGTTATTGTACGTGTTATTTCAGTAACTTCAGTTTTAACAACTTTTGTTATTTTATTATGTGTTTCAGGATCTTCTGCAATTGTTTTTTTAGTTTCAATTTTCTTTTTAACTTTACATTCAAGATCTTTATCTTCTTCAACAGTTGTTACAATTTCTTCAATCATACCTTCATCATCTGATTGAATATTTTCATTTTCAGGATCACCACGATCAATACTTCGACCACCAATAAAACGTGCTTTAGCTTTATCAAGTTCATTTGTTGCAACTTGTTGAACATTTTCAATTGTTGTTTCCATATTATCGTTTATTTGTTTTTTAGATTTTTTTTCATTTAATTTTAATTCTTTATCATTTTCCATAATTCGTTCTTTATTTGTCAAATAATAAGATGATAATGGTACATTAACAGTAGATGTTTCTTGCGAGCGAGATTTGTCAACGAGAATCCTAAAGAAAAGAAAAAAAAAAGAGAAAAATAACCTTTTGTTCTTTTGTACTTTTAGACAAATGTCTGATGATAGACGGTACCAATGTTCTTTCTTTCTCTTTCTTCTGTATTGTGTCTTTGTGAAAGAAATTTCATTTGTAACCAATGATAGGCAATATTATTATTTTAATTTTTATTGAAAATAAGATAGGTTTTTTTTGTCCTTTTCATCAAATATTTTGAATATTTGTATTAATAGAAATTTAATGAATATTATTCATGGAATGCTCTTTTTTAGCGACATCTGTGTTTATATAGCAATCAATAAATCAGGGTTACAAAAGAATGAACTACATATTTTATTGTTGTCATATGAAAAAAAGTAAATATATATATATATATATTAAAATAAAGAATCAATTATGAAAAACAAATTGCTCTTTGTGGTGATGTGAAGGGTCTATTCTCTTTTGTATGAAATTAAATCATACTGGTTATATATATATATATATATATTCGTTTAGCAATACTCTTATTACCGGAAATAGTCAATTTTACTTTTCTTTCCGAACAGAAATCACTGGTTTTTTTTTATATTCAAACATGATTTATATATAAACGTAGATTTCGAAGCCTAAAGACTTATTCTAATCAATGCAATTGTTGACCAGCAACAGAGAATAAAAAAAAAAGAGTCAGGAAACGGCGTTTCTCTTTATTTTTGCCAAAAGGCTTTTCTACTTATAGAGTAAGGCGACAATATCAATCATATAGAAGAAGATCTTTTTTATATGATTGATAACGATTATGTGGCCCAGACGCCTCATGTGTTCATTCTTTAAGAAATTAAAAAAAAAGAGAGAAAGACAATACGTCTGTGGTGAGAATATTCATTGTCTAACGATTCTATTTCAGTCCTGACAACACACAATCCATTCTTTATATTACTTTGCTCTCTATTTTCTTCTTGAGTGGGTCCTTGTATATAGACACACATACACGCCTAAGCGCTTGCGCATCGAGTGAGTTTGAAATAAATGTGAAGCATTACACACGAATCACTCTTCTTCCTTGCGTATTGTTCAGCTCTCGAACTTCTAATTTGATTGACGAACAATACGTTATGCGTGTGAGCACGCATATGCGAAGACCGCAATAGATATATATATATATAGTTCACTTTTCTTCTTATTCATTCATCGGATGAATAAAAACGCAATCAAGTTTATCACCATTAATTTTCTTACCGAAATCGTTTCTTTCGCAATACATAGGGCATTAACTGTTTATGAGTTTTTGGTGTTAGTAATAGTGTATAGGATCCATTTCTTTCAACAACAAGATCAACTCCTGTTAAATGCATTCGTGTTGTTATATTATTTGTATCAGTAACAATACCAATTGGTGATGTTTCATTGGATGTTGTTACTGATGTTGGTAATGGATTGAGAGGATTATTCGTATTTAAATTTGTTATAGCATTTGGTTCAGATAATGATGTTTGTACCAATAAACGAGCATTTGAACAGCCCATTTTGCGTGTTTATGAATTTATGTATTTAAGAAAAAAATGTTTTTCTAATGACGATCATAAGACGTATACACATAAATAGCAAGTAAGAAAAAAACGAAGAAAAGAAAGGTGGCAGTAGTCCTTATTGCAGTCGTTATTCTTTCTGCGTTACACCGAGAACGAGAGAAAGAGAGCAAAAAACTCGTTCGTCAAGCGCTGATGAGAAAAAAGAGAAGAAAAAAAAATGAAAAGAATAATAGTGAGCACAAGAGAGCGAGTAAACGAGGAAAACAATTTTCAAATGTCAAAGTTAGCAGCGGCTGTAATAGTAGTAGAATCTTCTCTTTCTTTTTGTCGTTATTAAAAAAGAAAAAAGAAGAGGACGATTAACAAACGAACGACCGACCGACCGACCGACCGATGGCGACGAAAAACAGAAAAGAAAGATGACGACAAAGATGAAGCAACGGAAGAAGAGAACTCTTTCTCTTCTCGCTTCTTGTTTCACACATCATCACTTTTTTTTCTCGGGCATTTGCTCGTACTCAATTTTTTTTAGTTCGTACGGCAGACATTCTACTACCATAACTAACTTATATCTGCGTAAAAAATAGAAAAGAAAAGAGAGGACACAACGTTGTCATTACTTCGATGTTCAGCAATATGCTAGTTTCTCTAGTTAGAATAGAAAAAGAAAGAAAGAAAGAACTGACAATAAGAAAAGGAAATGACATTTATTTTTCATCAAGGAATCGAGGTAAAATAGGTGCAAAAAATTGATACACCTTGTTTTTTTTTCTTTTCTATAATTATTTTGTTTTTTATTTTCTTTAATAACGATGATGATGATGTGGTATAATCAATTCTGCTGATTGAGTTACATGGTGCTCGCAGTTGGCGACGAAGAACGCGCTTTTACATTTTGCTCACAGTAATTTGAGAACACCCAAGCATGCCGAAAAAAACCAGGGGAGAAAATTAATTGTTGTTGTTATTGTTCTTATGCAAATTGAAGACAACATCTTTTGGAATGATTACTCTTTTAGTTGTAATGTTAAACGAGATTGATTTTATCTATTGATGTATGTATAATGACCATCTGCGTAGACATATAACAAGCAAGCAACAAATACGACAAGTGTCTATGTGTTGACAAATGTGCGCATATATTCGTCCTTGTCTCAGATATAAACATTGAATATTATAGAACCAATGAATTTCAAGTATCAGACGCAATCAATAGAATTGTATAAGAGAAGTATCTCATGTTGCTTATCTTTCTAATACCACAAACTAGAGAATATGATTGAAAGTAAGAAATATAAACAAATTTTATATTTGTATTCTTCTATATGCGTAGACATATCACATCAAGATAAATGAATAGATAAAGAGTTTATTGACAAATGAGGTTTTTCTTCTTTTTTCTGTCTCTTGTCAATATATCAAGCTTTTTCAATGCTAACATCCTTAGATCAAACACCATCAATGATGGTGATAGACATGATGATGTAAGCATATAAAAATACATAAAACAATTGACATTTCTCGTTTCTTTTTTTTTTTTTTATATTCTCTCATTCTCATTATTATAGGGAAGCGTATATATGATTATATATGTAAGCGTTAGTGTGTGAGGTGTTGCCATCAATTGTCTGAGAACATGTCTGTCGTTAAATGTACGTAAGCAATCAACAAAAAAAAAATCTGACATAAGAAATATTCTTACTTCTCTACTACTATGGAAGATAAAACATAAAGAAACAACTTCTGTGTACATTCAGCAGTCTTATTGAATTTCGATTAGCTTTTCGGGTTGCTCGTTAAATCTATTGAGGTCGTATGTACAAGATTAATCTTTACTCTTTTTTTCCCTATCTGCCCACCCTCCTATGTGGACACACATGCACATACACCCATTGCGGAAGTCAATTAGACTGTACACGAAAGCGTACACAAAAGAGAGAGAGGCATGTGGTGATTGTTGGCGGCAAAGGTCAACTGCTGGTCACCTGGTCGATACCCCCTGTGTTGCATTTTTTTGTTCTCACAACCTATAGTGCAATACTCTACAATAGATATGGTCAAGTCAATAAGTGCGGTTGATGCTCTTAACAATATAAAAAAAAAATGGGATCATTTCAATCAGTGGCATATATATATGTATATATAGATTGATATGATGGGAGATTTCATTCGTTTTATGCGTTGTCATCAAATGAAAAGAACAAAACAAAATAAAAAAAAAAAGACGAAGTCAAGTATATATATATATATCTAACTAACTTCGAAACAAAAGGATATTGTCATCATACTTCAAATTTGAACACTTCATTTCTGTTTTCAAAGAAGATCATTTCGTTTGAACTTTGAAAGAAACGCTTTCTTTTTTTTTTTTATTACTTTGCTTCTCTTTTTACTCTTGCTTAACAATGAACAGTATGTCCATTATTTTTATGCCATATTAAAATCAGACATGGAAAAATATCGCCTCTGGACCTTGACAACAAATGTTTGAATGGGTCACAGCTCGACTTGTTTAATTGTTAAAATATCTTCTCTATATTTTTAACAAATGTCACGTTCGTTTCATCTCGACAGTTGTTCGCTTAAAATCACCAGTTTATATCCATTTTTCTCATGTGTATATTAAGAAAAAAAAAATGAATGCGCAGATGGTACCCCGTCGGACATTTTCTTTTGTCATGTTGTCTGATTAAAAAAGAGAAAAAATAATGGAACTGGAAAAATAACAAGAATATTGTTCGCAAAAAGCTGACATTTCAAGAGAAACATTAATAGTTATTCGAATCGAAAAAAAACAACCTTCACAACTTACTCGTTTACAGTGAAATAGTCAACTAAGGAATAAAAAAACACACACACACATACACACTCTTTTTATTTTTCTTTCAAATAATTGTTTTCGAAGACATACAATACACCGCAGATGGCACATTAAAAAAATATATATACGTAGATGTCGACTTACTCATCATGGATGACTAATTTCATAGAAGAGAATAAAAGTGCCGAAGAACATACTCTAGAGAATTTTCGAAACAAAAACAAAAAAAGAAACTATTAGAACGATTATAATATTTTCCATTAGAATAGAGAGTAAAAGATGAACAACAATCTTAATCTAACCCGCAAAATCAATACATAGTTTATACATATCACGTTCATACAAGATGATGATCTTACACAATTCTATATATATATATATATACATACAGTTATATCAAATCTATATTGTATATCTTTTCTTTCACTACTAACACTAACATTATTAATGCACATTTTTTCTTAGGTCTATTTTATTGAATAAATAAACATTCTATTCTATCAAAGATAAGATTTGAGTGAATAGAAAATATTTTCTATTATATTATGCACATAGATGGAAGAAAGAGGAAAAAAAACCACAAAAAAAAATATAAAAGTGAAACATTATCTTACCTTTAATGTTTGCGTGAATGAAAATAGAAATGTTTTTCGAATGTAATAAATATCTAAGATGAGAAATGAATGAATCACAAAACTACTACGTGGATGATTAAGTTAGATGTAAATGTGACAACAATGTTCAGGACGATATGAATGAATAAATGAATGAATGAATAAGAAGGATAGAAAAGAAGGATACAAATCGTGCGTATGTATGTATATATGTACGCGATAGAGAAAAAACGCCAAACGATAGACAGATAGATGTATGTCACATTAACAGTGGCAATTGTTGTAGTACCCAACAAAAAAAAAAAGCGAGAGTCAAACGATCAACAGTAAAGAAAGAACAAATGCATACATACACAAGTATTAGTATAACGTCATAACTTTTTTTTCTCTCGTTTGTCTTACAATCAGTGAAGGTGATATGCTAGTACAAGCTGGCGATAGATTCTCACACATCATACAAGCCTAATATCGTTTAAAATTATCTGGACAACGATTGATCGATTGAAGAAATTAATTGCAATATAAATCAATGCACTTGGACGAACGCATACACATCTGGTGTTGTTCATTGATTGAGTAGGATTCTCTTTACGTAATCACGTAATGTATCATCTTCAACAATACATCTATACATATATACTTTTAATAGTATAGGTCAAGCGAAAAGTACGGTTTCGGTTGATGACATTCCACTTAATATATCATTTAGATACTCAAAAATTATTTATGCACGTTGCAATTCGATTAGACATATTCAAACTCATTTTTAAAATGAACTTTTAAGTTAGGATAAACACAAATACTTTTCTATCTCTTTGATCTTCTATTGCACTTATATCTTAATCCATCGACGCGTGCTTATACATTGTTCGAAATAAAAATAACAATAGACAAAAAATAATACTTACAGATATTCTTCTCGTATTTAGAATTTTGTTACTTTTTGTATTCGTCAATCGTAAATTGATGAATGGAATGATACGTTTGTCTTGTTCTAAAATAAATGAGACTAGTAGAATGTAATAGTACTCAAATTAGTAATATTTGATTGATGAGACATAAACGATAGAGGTCACTACTTTATATGTGATAGATACTTTTTCGATATTTGAATTTCAGTATTAGTAAGAAATATTTTATATGTATATGCATGTATGTATGAATGTATATGCCAATTTCTATTAATATTTTAACGAATAAATATATACAAAGTCGGCTATTGGCGTTTTTTTTTCGTTCTTTTCTTCTAATCTGCTAGTAATTGTATCCGACAGGAGATAAAAATCGAACTCAATTGATGATTAACGAGTTAGAAAAAAAAATCTGTCATAGTTTTCGATCTTCAATTTTGTTTTTCTAACATATCGATTATCATCGCTATCATTAAAAATGTGATATATACACAAGTAACAGATTTTTTCAACAACGTCATTAGTGTTTAATATGTCCTTAGGTTTTTTTTCTTTTTTTTGTATCCTACATGGTATATTACCTTATATTTTTCAAATAATGAATGCTTATCAGGGTTATGTTGTTATTGTGGTTTTCGTTGTGGTTTT